GATAATGGTGCCCTCCTCCTCTGCCTCCTCTCCTGAGGGATGGGGGAAGGGCAGAGAGCACAGGGGAAACAGAAAATCAGCAAATAGAATGATAATGTCATTCCCTTTCGCGATAGAAACAGAAAGCTGCAATTAGATTTCTCTGATCAAAATGCTAGATAAAAATCAAGAGAATTTTCTAAAGTAGATCTGAAGCATGAAGAATAACTCAGTTCTTTACTTAGAAGTCACCTCTGTGCAAAGCAGTGTGTGGGGTCTGTGTGCATGCAGTGCACGAAGCCCTTTGTGGCAGTTGTCTGCAGTACCCCGAGCTCGGATCACACCTCTGGTGGCCTCACACCTCTGCATCTGCTCAGGGTGTTTTCAGGGCTCCGTCACTGCTGGTACTGAGCACCCACGGGAATTGTGGATTTACCACCCAAATGTGCTCAGAGAAGGGCTGCTGCCTCTGTCTGCATGTCAGCATGCTGTGTGATGCAGTTTGAGCAGAGGTGCTGAGCACGGAGCTGCTCCAGAGGGCTGGCTCCATGTGAGGCTCAGCCCCGCTGCATTACCTTGCACAATGATGAACTCAGGGAACCATGGATTGATACTCACTTAGGAACTGGCACCCGAATTAGTGTCCCATCCACTTCTGGGTTCAGGTTCATTCCGCTCTCCCTTATAGCCTTCATAGCTGCAGCTGTGCTCTGTAAAACAGATCAAAAGGTAAAAAGAATTAGGAAATAATCATTCCCATATGCCAGAACTCTGTCAATAGTTGGCAATCCATCTCCACAGAACATGGAAACATTTACTTCTGTTACCAGTAAGATCAGGAAGTTACATTGGTGTGGAGAGCTTTGATCAAACTGAATGGGAAACTATGGCTGCACTCAGTGTCGGGGTAGCGAGGGTACCAAGGGGGGAGAGGGGAAGGGGAAGCAACAACAGAAGAAAATGTTTTGCTTCTTTGAAACTATTTGAATGGTTTGAGGCAATGCAGAGTGAAACCACAATAAATTCCCAAGGCATGGCCTGACTGTGGCAAAGGAGATGAAAGATTCTCAGCATTTAAAAATTCCAGTTGAATGTTTTCCACTAGGAATCACACAGAACCCATTTAGAAATGTTAACTAACTTAACCACTTCAGCACTACAACGTAATCTCATTACATCACAGCAGTAGCAGTTGGCTGAGAAGCAGAGCCTGTGCCCAGCTCTATGTTTATTTTACAGCCTATTACTTAGGATTAACTTTTCAAAAAACTCCATCACAGCTGGCTGATGCTGTTCTGCCTGAAAGGTGAGGTGGGCAGGTTTGCCTGCTAATTGCAAAGTGATTAAAATGCTTCCCCTCCTCACCTTAAGAGCACTGCTGTACCTTCACGGTGTCAAATGTTATGGTTAAGTAACAGTTCTGCAGAGAACTGCAACAGCACTCTGCCAGTTTGTTTCATTCTCTGACGCTGACAATAACAAGACTGGGCTGGTCTGCGTTCCTTTGGCACTAGCATGGCATTTCCTACAAGGAGCATTGCTAGTTCTGATGTTCTTTTCTATTGTTAACTTGAGCTCCAGGTTACTGCAGTAGATCGCACTTATGAAGTTCAGCTTTTATCAACTGAGGCACAAACTAAAGCTTTGCCAATGTTTTGTGAGATATAACTGCCCCACTCAGAAATGAAAGGAGCAGAGAAAATGTGACAGAGGTGATTTCGGTGTGTTAGGACCATCAGTGTGTTATTCTGTGGGCAGAACTTGCTCTGCAGGAAGAAAATGCTCAGTAAAAGCTGTATCGTAAATCCTCTTCTATAATTTTCTATCCTAGACTCTTCAGGGATTGGTATTTGCTTTCCAATGCTAGAAAGTATTGGTGATCTGCTGTAAGTAATGATATGGAGTAGTAGTGTGTGTAGTGTTATCAAGGAGTTCCATCTGCCTATGAAACAGTTATGGTATAAAATAATTGCATTGAGAGAAATAGCTCCAGCTCAGGTGAGAAACAATCCTTTGGCTTGGGAAGCAAACACAGGCAATACATGGCTAATCTGACTCTGTTGCTTGTGTACCCATTTCTCAGCCCATCCTCCTGCCTGGATGCAGGCAAAGCCACGGTATGGCTTCTCTCAGTTGTGGCACTCAGTGCATTCCCTGATGGGGAGTTTTCATTCTTCCAAGTTACACAATCTGGGTACTCTTCAGGAAACACATAGGCATCAAGTGCCTTATGCTGACCTCCTCTGAGAAGCTGTCAGCTTAAATGGGGAAGGCACATGGCACAGTCTGCAGCAAAACACAGCTTGTGTCAGTCAAGGAGCGACAGTGTTGTCTGAGCTCTTAGCCCCTTTTATCCACCTGTTTCTTTGCTCAGTATCAACCTGTTTGTTCCCATGGTAAGTACCTCCCCTTGCCACACCTCCAGAAACGTGTCCTTACCTCTGGAAAATTGGTCATGTTCACTACAATGAGCTGAGGAGACTTCTGTGAGATCTGCCCCAGCTGGTTCAGTGGAAACTTCCCATCTTTTGTCGTGACAGTGATGTGGTCAAGGGCCCCTCGAAAGAACCAAACACAAGGGAACGTCAGCATGACACCACAGCTCAGGATGATGCTGTAGTACAAATACAGTGTCTCATTTTCCCTCCCTTGTGCAAAATACAGATGTTACAAAATAAAAAAATGATGTATGCTGTTTGTGTTTCTGCATCCCTTGTGGTGTTTGTAAAATATTTCAGCATTAGGGCACAAAAACATGAAAACAAATCTTCTGTTTCTGTTACCAGAATAGGAAAACTAAACAAAGATTGTGAAGAATTAAGAGGAAATAATTATTTTTTAATACTTACAAGTTAAAGAAGATCAAGATGTTATTATAAAAGTCAAGAAAACTACTGTCTTGAATTGAGCAATGTTCCCTTAAACCCCTCTTTTTTTTTTTTTCCAGGTCCCAAGAGGAGGTGCTATCCACTACTTAATTGAGAGTATTCTGTTTCTCCCTGAGCTGCTCTTAATCTGCTCTCTCATTTCTGCTGCAAAATGTTAACAGACCAAAAGGCACACGGGACAGGAGGTACTTTATCAGTGCAGTTAAAAAAAAAAAAACACCTATGGCTAAAATAAACAGTTAAGAGACTGAGCAACACGTTCCAGCCCTACAAAAGACTGCAGTGCCCTTTGCCAGAGCTGGAGTGGTGGATGATTCAAATGTGGTCATTGTTTAATATTACACTTTATCCCTGAAACTTGATACTACTTAAAAATACATATGTTCAGTGTTATAGTAACTGTAGCATAGTCAAACATATTCATGATCCTTCCTGAAACACACAATTCACTCAGTGAATAAAGCTTGTAAAGGTCAGTAACCACAAAGATGCATAGCAAAAAAAGTTTGTACACGTCAGACACCAGTCTGATGGCAATTTTCAAAAGGCTAATTTAATGGCAATTGGATTTTTCCTGCCCTACTGCACCATTAGCTGACAACCTGCTTCTTCATCACATCTGCAAACAGTTCAGTTAGACACTTTTGACATCTCCCACTTAGAAAAGCTATTTCCAGGAAGCTATTAACAAAAATGGATTCTTCCTGGTCAAGCTCAGGGTGAAGAGAGCCTTTAGTAAGGGATGTCAAGGTTGTAGTAATTGGGTGCCCAGTGTATAACTCAATAAAAAGAAAATCAATTCCAGAAAAAAAAACAAAACAAAACCCCAGCAGCAGAGCATTGTACAAAAAATGTACCAACCTTGTGAGGTTCTGACATTGAGATTTCTGTTGAAATCTTCTTTCAGAGCTTCTACCACTGCCTGCATGTCTGTGTTGGTTTCCTCCAAGTTGATAATATCCTCAACCAAGGCAGCACTGATGTTCACTTTGGCTTGTGTCTGCCCTTTACCTTTAGCTGCACATTACACATAGAATTAATTTCAGTTTCTCACAATAACTCAACTACTTTAGAGATTAGAAAAAAGACGTTACAACTGATGTTAAATTCAGAGTTGAGTCCAAGATAAACAGACATTCTTTAGCGGGTAAATAGCCCAGCAATTCAGAGCACAAACCAAAATAGATGAGAAGCTCGTGCTACACGCCCCAGCTCTAGCTGGGACTGCGATGACAGCCACATGCCCTGCTGCAACAGCAGCTCCCCGAGATGGGTATCTGGCATCATGGACGGGGGGTGCAAACACCACTGGATGCTGCTGCTTTACCTTTTTTGGTGGCCAGCGGCCTGGCCAGCAGCAGTGGGTGGACGCATTGCCTGCAGCCATCCAGGAGCAGAGCTGTGCAGCGTGCTGGGGGCTGCGGCAGCCGCCTCACCACTGCGAGTGAAGAGCAATGAAGCAGGGAGTGCAGATGCCTAAAGCATCGTAATGCCATAGCCATTGGTTACCTGTAAAGGGAAGAAGTAGGTGGGTCAGCGTGCTAAAAGGAAAAGGCTTCAAACCTGAGGTGTGCGTGTCTGTGTGTGCGTGCCAGCAGTCAGCACTGCAGGGTTGGCTATTTGTGCACCACTTAAACAGAACTTCAAATTCTGCCGCTCTAGGATGGAGGCTCCAAAGCCCTCCTTAATGCTCCCCTTAATCACAAGTATGGCTCTAAGGCTGCGTCCAGCCACAGCGCTGCTCTGTGCCTCGAACTCAAACGAAACCGCACAGCAGCCCTCGCCGCGGCACGTGCGCGCAAGCCCGCCCCCACCCCAGGCCACCCCCCCATCCCGGGCCACGCCCCCATCCCGGGCCCCGCCTCCGGCATTTGCCCATCAGGCCCTGCCCTCTGCACTCAGCCCCTTCTCCCACACCCTGTGGACGCCCCTCCCGGTGCCCCGCAGCGCCCAGTCTGCCTCGCTGCGGTACCGCGGTGCAAAGCGACACAGCGTGGCCCGAACGGAGCGGAGCCGGGGTCCGGGAGTGGCAACAGAGGAGGGCGGGTGTCCGCGGCATTGCTCACCGTCGCGCCGAGCTGCCGTCATCAAACGGCGCCCGCCTGTGATGTCATCAATGTGCGCCAAGGGCGGGGCGAGGCCTATGCGAGGCCGGGGATGGTGAGGGGCGGCCCCGCGCCGCCATGGAGCCGGAACGACAGGCGTTACCGCTGGAGAACGCCGCCATCCTGTCCGAGGGCGCCCTGCAGGACGGGCACCGCCTCTGGATCGGCAACCTCGACCCCAAGATCACCGAGTGAGCGGCCGGGCGGGCGGGCGGGCGACCGAGTGGCTGTGCGGGCCCGGCGCCGCCCTCCCTGCGGCACCGCCCCGCGTCCCCCCGCGGAGCCGCGCTGCGCGGAGCTCCCGTTACCGGCGCCCCCCCTCCCAGCACCCGTTCCCCTTCTCCTGGGCTGCCCTCTGTGCTCTCTTCGTACTCGCTCGCCCGCGGCTCCGCTCTCAGCCCCGCCCCGGGTGCGGGTGCGCAGCTGCCCCCGGCCGCGCTCCACATTCGGGCTGGTGGCCCCGGGGCTGGGAACTGCTCCGTTTGCCCGCCTGGGGTGGGGGTAGAACCGTGCATGTGCCCCGTTCCCTGAGGGGTGACCGGGGGTTCCATTTGTTGTTGTGTTCCGTCCGTGGGTGTGGGGTGGGCGGGGAGGACAGGCAGGCGCTGCAGTGAGCACCTGGTATCCCCTGCAGGTACCGAGATCTTAGCCGCTGTAATACTCAAACCGCAGAACTACAGCAGGGGTTGCTGCGCAGTATTTGGGTGGTGTGCTAAGAAGTGACAAACCCACACAGAGCAACGTGGGGTTTATATTTCTCTAGAAACATGCATTTTTGATTAACTGTTGTGTGTGCTCTCATAGAATACTGTTTCTCCTTCCATCTCTGCGTGTGTGCGTGTGGTAGGGCTCTATTCTAAGTGTGGTTCATCTTAACAGAGCAGTTCTCTGCTAGCCTCTAAATGGAATCATTAATGCATTGTGCTTTACAACCATTCAGTTTTGGGTGGTTTTGCGTTAGTTACCGTTTCTGTCCCACAGCTCTGTTGCTTTGGTTTGTTCACACTCGCTGACCACATACACTCACGTATGGGACTTAGCATGTTTACAGGTCCGTAAGGATTCAGGAGATTGTGCAAGGTGAAAACTGTGGGTGTTTGTAAATGCATCAGATCCTTCATGTTTTGCGGTTAATGGTGTTGTTAAAGATTCTTTCACTCTGCGTTTCTCTGAATCTAGGCCAGGCAAGCAGTAGCTTCATGTGAAATGATTCCATACCATTAAGCTTAGTGTTTAAAGTTTGCCCAGCAATGGGTGACAGTGCTCGTTGCCCGTAACAGGGTTGTATTTCTGGCTGGATACTTGTGTTCTGCTTTTGGTTTTGCTTTAGTAATGTCTATACTCCACTGAAAAAAAAATAAATACTATAATCTGTTTCATTCTGAAAAAAATAAAGAAAATTCCTTTTAATGCATTGTCAGCATAGGGAAAGTAATGTTTCTGTATCAGTTCAGTAAATTCTTATAAATCAGCCTGACCCTTGCTTTCTTATCCTAAAGGCTCACAGCTCTGCTCATGCTTGCTTGTCTGAATAATCCCTGTTGAGCTTACTAATTGCATGACTAAAAACACATACCTGAAAGCTAAATAGCTGTTTCTTCATTTGCTGCTTTTATCTGATTTTAAAGGGTTGCCCCTGCAATTTTCATGTTAGATTTGCTTAAGATGGAGTAAAGTTGATTGGTTGTTAGTAGGGTTAATAACTGGTTGTGACTTTCTTGAGCAGAAATGAGTTCAGAAAGTCTTGAATTAATCCAAGACTTCCATTTAGAGAGCAACCTATAACTGCAATCAAGCACTGGGGAGTTAATAGGTAACGTATACATTTGAGTGCAAGCTGTGGTAATAGGAATTCATGAATGTAGGGCTGCCTACAAATTACAGCCTGTAAGCTGGTGGCTTATGGGAGGTTATTGCACTGAGCAGCTGTGACTCAAATGGGAGTCTCCAAGGGTGTCAGTTGTTGTCATACCCACTTGTTGGGGTTTGATGTGTCTTCTGGTGGGCTAGCTTCCCTGCCAGTGATGTTTACTTGGGTTATTTGTTTTATCTAGCATCCTGAGAACTGTTCTGCATATGGCAGCAGATAATGTTGGGGGTTGTAGCTTCTTAGCAGCTGGAAGGAGGCGAGCTGGCACCGAGTGTCCACACAGCAGGCTGTGGTGTGGGATGTAATTTGTAGGCAGTTCCAGTGCTGAAGGATCCCTGCTTTGGGTTCTGCTGCAGTGGGGTGTGAGGAGGGCAGCGGGCGGTCAGTTCTGGTGTCACTAGCAGGGAATCCATTGGCTCCCTGCTGTCACTGCCAGCATGGCCAGGTGCAGCACTTGTCCCCTGGTGGGCTGGGAGATGCTTTGTGCTGTGCCCTTTGCTCACCTCACTGCTTTGTGACTTCTGTTGCACCTCCTGCGTGGCACGTGGAGTCGAACTGCCTGCTCTGCTAATTCCTGTGTGTAAAGCTTTTGGAGGCTTAAGTTTCTGTCCGCCCAAAACGCGGCACTTCCAGTACTGCAGTTATACGTATGTTATCTGGTTTCTAGTAGCCTTTGAATGACTGTTAATGACCTGCAGGTATGAAATAGTGGATGTTCAGCTTCCTTGGCTGTTCAGCTGCTTGTCTACGATCCCATCTTGATGAGTCTCACCTAGAAAACAAAGTGTGCATGAGTTGTTGTTAGAGACTCCTACTGACTCCCAGTGGGGCAAAATTCTTTGCAATAATAGGTTTAGCATGTGGCCCGGTACCTTTGCAGTATCCTTGGGATAGCATTGTTCAGAGGAAGCCTTGCCTGTGTTTGAATAGCACTCAGGGTGCCAGGAGGAAGACTGGAGGAAAAGGAAATGGGGGAGCTGCGGGTTTGTCTTGCATTCACATCAGATGACAGGAAGTGGAAATTGAGGTTGGCTGTGGTGATCTTTGGGGCCACATCTGTGCGAATAACTCTTAAGCTCTGGATAAGCAGAGTCACTGCCATAATAAAGCTTTTTACACGTTCACACTTCTTCAATAAACATTTCAAGTTTTCCGTGACAGGTCTTCCTTCAGTGCTGAAGTCATCTTTGCGTGGGGATAACAGTCAAGTTACTCTCCATGCCTCACTGTATTAACAACAGATTATAACCAAAGCCTGGAGCTTCTGGTTACACACAGCTTCGTTTGGAGCTGCTCCTTGCAGAGGAGATAACTTGCATTGTTAAAAATTGCATGTGTGGTTTGAAAATCATGCTTGTATCATCTAGATCTAAAGATTCTGAATGAAATTGGCTACATAGGTTGCTTCCAAACTCTTCTACTAAAATGCTTTTTAAAGGAATGGCTACCACTTGCTGCCAAGGAAGCAGAAATGCGTTATTTGTTGGTTGCAGCGGTTCCCGGGTTGGGAGTTGGAGCCAACAGCATGAATTGTTCCTTTGGCAGAGTAGTTGCAGGGAGTTTTGTTGTTGGGAAATAAAATGTGGTGAGGATCATCGCTGCCCTTCCCTTGACTCTGTAATTGCAGGAGAAGGGAACCTGGCCCTCCTGCATCGCTGGGCTGAGCGCCTGCTGTACCTTCACCTCTCTAAAAGTGCACATCCTGAACGTTCGCCGTGGCTGTCCTGCGACATGACTCACATTCCTGGAACTTTCTTGCCTGCCTCCTGAAGCTTAACAAAGGGCAATCGCTTGTTTCGAACATCCTATCGGGCTTTATTAGGAAAAGTATTGTCTGCTTGGGCTGTCCCTGAAGTTACCTGATGCGTTCAGTGTCTTGGGACACTGCTGATTGCTTGCACCAGGACATGCCTCGTCCTGGCCAGTGCCTGCTGGTTCGTGTGCAGAGGGAGTTACCCTGATGAGCTTCCAGAGCTCCGAGCATTCTCTCATCTGGGAAGCTGGGAATTGAGCTTAGGCTGCGTGGCTCCCTAACTAACCCTATATTGCTAATCAGGAGGGGTTGAGTCCTAAGATGCCCTCATTAAACCCTCAGACAATTCTTAATCTCTGGGTTAGAAGTCAGTTGGTGAAATAGTGACAGGTGTGATTTGCCTGCTAGGTCAACTGGCACTATTAAACACTGGGGTCAAGGGAACCAAAAAAGCTGCAAGGAACTTTTGAGGTTAGATGTGTCTGTACAACGTATGTGCGCCTTGTTCAACATTGCTTAGTGCACCAAGTGCTAAGCATACAAGTTTAGTTGAGTTTTTCCCAAGTTTTATTAAAAAAAAGAAAAAAGCACACTCCCCACTGAATGGCAGGAGTGTCTGACTTCTGTGTGCATGTCACTGGAAAGCTGGCTGAGCCAGGGATGCTTAATTTTGCCTGACCCGTGCTGAGGTCTGGTGCTATTTCCACCTGGTCTGCTGTCAGCTCCTGGTTGTGGTTCTGCTCATCCTGCCTTCCTGCTTCCCAGCTCCTCCAGGCAGGTGGGAACAGGACTGTGTTTTCAGCCATGTCCACACTGATACAGTTTGGCACAGGGAAGGGATGGGAGCAGCTTTGCTCATGTGCGGACAGGGAGGGCAGCAAGAACTGCAGGCGCTGTGGGCTGGGACTGCTTGTGCAGAGAGAGGGATCAGATGGAGCTTCAGATAGTCATGGCAGGGCTGGAGAGGGGCAGTGTTTATGCTTGGAAGTAGGTGTGATTTCTAGAAAGACAAGAGGCAGAGTCCTCCAGCCCCATAGGGAGCTGTTAGGTAATTGTCCAAAAAAACAGCTATGAATAGATCTGCTGCTCACTCTTCAGCTGGCACTGCTGGGAGGAAGGCTTTGGGGTGTAGGGCTGTCGCTGATGAGGCCGGGCAGCTCAGGGCTGTGGTTGTGTAATGGATGTCCACCTCTGTGTGTATTTGGGAATTCCTGTGTGACTGAACTGAACCATTTGTATGACTGAGCTTGAAATGCATGTCTCCATTGCTGTACTTTCAGAGTACTGAAAGGTGCCATTCGTCTTTGTTCCCCCTCAGGTACCACCTTCTCAAACTCCTTCAGAAGTTCGGCAAAGTAAAGCAATTTGATTTTCTCTTTCACAAGTCTGGAGCTTTGGAGGGGCAGCCGAGGGGTTACTGTTTTGTGAACTTTGAAACCAAACAGGTATGTTGCTTTCTTGTTTCAAGAGAGTGGCTTCTTCCCCACCTCTTTTATGTCAATATAAAGCTAAAACAGGAAGGGATAAATGAAATGCCCAGGCTGCAGAAACCATAAGGATGTCAGAAGAGCTGTGCCAGTGCTTGAGGTCTAAAAGCTCAACGAATGATTTTTCATAACGAGGTGGAACAGCATTGCAACATGCATTTTTAATTGCTGTGAATCGAGTTTTGTGGGAGCTTCCCCAAGGTGAGATTTCACTGCTTAGTCAGGATAGGACCAAGAGGATAACATCCCTAGCAGGCATTAGCAAGATCTGGCGTAGGTGCAGGGTATTGATGGGACATGGTATGCCTCTGGGACGAATGGCAGTGTTTCTTGAGAAGCTGGTGGAGCACAGAGCTCCCTCTGCGTGCTGTTCCAACAGCTTCTGCCTTTGATTTTTTTTCAAAACTTGTGATCATCTTCCCCATTTCCTCCCTACAATGACTGAAAGAATCTGCCCTGCTGGTTTATAAAAGTCTGATTGCTCAGTTGGGTGTGGGAGTCTTCCAAGTATTTCTGGGTTGGGATACAATGGGATAAACGTTCTTTGCAGACAGTTAGCTTTACTTTCAGAGGACTGATTTACAAAAGGAAAAGGGTCTTTACATCTGAGACGGTTATGACTGAAGACTTGGTTTGTTTATTGAACTGCCTTCCTGTGCCTCCTGTGCAGGAAGCAGAGAAGGCGATCCAGTGTCTCAATGGGAAGCTGGCCCTTTCCAAGAAGCTGGTGGTGCGGTGGGCGCACGCACAAGTCAAGGTAAGCCTGCTGGTAGATAAAAATCAGTTTGCGAAGTCAAAAAGCCGTAATATTAAGGAACAGCTCTTATGAAGGCTGTCTTAGCTTGGCAAGATACCAGTGTGTTCTAGGAAATAGCTCTCAGGGAAGCAGCATGAACAATGTACCACTTCTGTTATCCTCCTGAACTAGCTGAGTTAGCGGTGAATGAGAAAAGGCTGTTTAACCTGATGTTCTTTGTAAAGGTGCATCTAATTAGAGCTCTGGGAACTGGTTACTTCTCTAAATTTCTGTTTTTCAACTTTTCCCAAGCTTAGTGAATGATTGGCTGAAAGGTTGATTCCTTCCCTTTGTGGTTTTGCACCCTTTTTGGATAAGAGATGCATGGAAATTCCCAATTACTAAGCACTCTGTAACTTTGTTCCACTTCTGAAAGCACTTATCTGGCAGCAGCTATAATTATTCCTGACTTGTAAAGCAAGGTGTTTCACTTCTAAATATCATTTTATTGCTTGCTCTACTGAATAAAACATCAGGGTTTTAATGTTAACTTGAGTACCTTCTGGAACATCCTTGTTTTCATGCCTCTGAATTCTTGTCTTGTTTCTCCTGCAGTTATTTACTCCAGCAACTTATATGAAGCAACTTTGTTTGAATAACTGTCTTTGTCGAGAGAGATTTTTCTTGGGGGAGGCAGAGGGAGGTGCTTATTGTTATTTACCTTTGGGTAATGTGATTTTAACACACCTTGATTATCTTGTAATCAACATCCTACTCTTTTTTTTTTTTTAATTGAGTGCAGCAGTGCATTTTTTTAGGAACCTTGACAACAGGGGGGGGGGGGGGGGTAGGAAAGAAAAGGGAAAAGCAGGTATCT